CTCCTAGAGTTTAGCATTTCTGATGGAAGGTAGGAAGGGATCTCTCATACAATTAATTCCTTGCTTCGTTTTACAGTAGATTTTACTTTATTTTCGATATCAATTGCCAATTTTACCTTATCGAACCAACCAAACTTTCTATTCAAACAGGAGTAAATAGTAATTGTGTGTAAAGTTGGATGCTAATCCGACTAGAATGTGGATATATAATACTTTTGAAAATTTCTTCTATGAAAGATTTCACTGATTAAACTGTGTTATAAAAAAAATCAATCTATTTAACAAAAAAAAAAAAAAAATCAAAGCAAGACAAATCTAAATGTTGTTCCTTTGAAAAATATATGAGTCTGATTAATGAGCGAAATATCAAAGTAGATGTTTTTCATGAGGAATCAGATAGCCGAGTTTGCATTCCAATCGAATCCATTACATTCACTTACGTACTAATACCCTTGGGAAAAGTATGAATCCTTTTCTTCTCCCCCACCCCATGGGTAAATAGCAGGACGGGTTCTATAGTCTTGGATGGCAACTGGTCTACCGCAGAAAGAAATGGCAACCTACTGCAGGAAAAAATCTGCCTCGTCAGTCATGTATCTTTCTATACATGGTTCCCTAAGCGTGTATCATGCATAGCAAATAACTGACTGGCATAAAAGTTTCCATAATTCTTACAATTAATCTTTTGTTATGTTGATTGATGCACGTACAATTTACAAAGAATGATTGATATTTTCCTAATGTAGATAGGGTGAATTAGACAGCAGGAATTTATTCACTTACAGATTTATTTTGACCCCCAACAAAATGGATTTGTATTAATATGTATTAAACGTCACGTTATTGGACTTTTGTTTTTAGAATTGTATTTATTAAGCACTAAGGACTGAAAGTTTCTAAAGTCCAGAAACTCTTATCGCTCTACATCTGTCCATATTTGGGTGATGAAGTATTTTAACTATTTACACTATTTACATTGTTCAGACTGTTCTCCTCATCTTTATTGTCATATTCATGACGTTTCAACCGTTGTACGCTTCGGCCTTCGTCAGGTGATATACAATGGAATTTTGAACCGAACCTTTTATTTCGTCCACCGACACATGTCCCAGCGGATAAAGATTACCATTATAGCATAAATATTTCTAGCTAGCGTAAAAAAATACCTTTTTTTTTATTCACCAGTTCTATATATAGATCTGTATAATTAAAAAGGTTTCTATAAAAGGTAAAAATTAAAAAGGTTTCTATAATTCTTACAAGTAATCTTTTGTTATGTTGAATGATGCACGTACAATTTACAAAGAATGATTGATATTTTCCGAATGTAGATAGGGTGAATTAGACAGCAGGCATTTATCCATTTATAGATTTATTTTGACCCCAAGAGAATGGATTTGTATTATTATGTATTAAACGTGACGTTTTTGGACATCTTTTAGAATTTTATTTACTCACCACTAAGGTGTTAAAGTTTCTCTTTGTGTGATACGCTTTGACATTTACAGAAATTATGTTATGACTCGTTTCGAAATTAGATATATACTGAGAAAGATAATATTAATAAACCTCTATTCTGATCAGTTGATAAAAGATAAGTTGATAGATACATATACAATCTGATGGATATAAACACCATGAGGTTGATAAGGAATATACTACATTGGTGATGGCTGACACCGAATACACCTACCTGCTAAGGTAACTAGATATTTCCCGTTTCAGATGTCCCGTAGTACAATCATCAATGGCTTCCGAAGAGTTTCGTCTACACAATTTCACCGAAAAATGCTTGGGTCAAAACAGTGTTGTGATTTTCATGTACGATGCATGACAGATACTGAACAGTTTCCGAACCGACCCAAAATGTAATTATTTTCTCAGTGGTGTAGCTAGTGTTTTTGCCGCCTGGAGCGGCCCTCAAATTCCCACAGAAGGGATACAATATTACAAAGCACATTAACCCCTCAAAGTTTTTTTATATATATATATATATATATATATATATATATATATATATATATATATATATATTAAAACAATATAAACCGCAAACGTTTTTGGTTGAAATGTGGATTTTTATTTTTAGAATATTTATTTTATTTTTAATATATATATTTTATTTTAAAATATACATTATACTCTATTTTCTATATTTCTGCTACACACCTTTCTGGTTTCGCGACCTTCTTCAAGCAAAGATTAGATAATTCCACATATTATAAAAATGAATTTTTTGCGTTGTATTGATTCAAATGTTCTTGGACTCAAAAATAGATGGGTACGAATAATTTCCTCTTTGACTGAATATATATATATATATATATATATATATACGCAGTCAACGACGAAATTATTCGTAAACCCATCAATTTTTTATATTTTTATCCATTTCTCAGAATCTAATGACTGTATGATGCCAAGTTTTTTACATGCTTCTGTTAATGTGGTATTTACTGATAAAATATGAAAAGTACAATTGTGTTTATTTATTTATTTTTTTAAAGCTATATCTGGGGATATGTAAAAAAACGAAGATGTTACTTTTTTTTCTACATCGGGAAAACTTTTAAAATATTTTACGATATTAAAAGAACTTGTTTTTGTTTATATACTCTCTGTTTCATTTAAAAAGAAAAAAATACATTGTACTTTGGATTCATAATTTATCAGTTTTTTATATTTATTTCTAAGAAGTGAGGATTCATAAATTAAATGCAAAGTTAACAGAAACATGGTTTGTTTTTCTTTTAGCAATGTCAAAAAGTACAATGTCTTTTAAAATTAATTTCACTTTAAAAAACTGAAATAAATGTTATCATACTTTTAATTCTTTGTCTGTTTTGCTTAATAAAACTTCAACTATCCAAACAAAAATAAAACATTGCATTATTTTACTACCGTGAAAACTAGTAAATTGAAAAAAATGAAAAAAAAAAGCCCGTTTCTGGACTTTAAATAAAGTTTCTGCACTTTAAAAAAATATATTAATTTTCAATTTTCTTTTAAATTTCCGTTCGATATTTCTTGGAAAATTTGAAATGCATGTGATATCCTTAAATTGGAATTATCTCAATATATTTATCCATTTTATAATTTATGAAAAGTAACGATTTTATATCAGTATTAAACCTAGGCCTATGATGAGATATATAAAAAAAAATTGGTTCACTTATTTATTTATTTTTTATTTTTTTTCACCAACAGTTCACAGATATGAAAAATCAAAATCAAAAGAACTGATCCCAAAGTCTGGAATTTTAACATAGGTGGGAAAAACTGGATTCCCTAAATTCATTTAATCCAATCCCACATCAAGCCGTTTAAAAGTGTTCAAATTTTTTCACACCTTTTGCTTATGTGCTGTAAGTGGGATTTATCCCCACCAACTGACAGCGTGTTTTGGAGACTTTTTTTTTTTTTTTTTTTTATTCCTGATCATTTGACTTTGAGCCAATCATATCAAAAACAAATTGGCTTAATTTGAACCATATCTTCTTCCTTATCGCTGCGTTTTTGCAAAAATTATTGAAATTATGCTATTGTTTTTTTTTTCTTTTCTGAAATCTCACAGAATTGCTGCCAGGGACGGCCCGCCCTCCCCTAGCTACGCCACTGCATTTTCTACATCTTAGTTATTTGTTCAGATTTTTGGAAATGAGTCGGGCAAAAATACTTTCAGCATTTATTTTGTTTATCGAAATATTGTCTGAACAGTATAAAATGAGAAATGATATTAGTACTCCATATAATGAAAATAAATATATGAAAAATTATAATTTTAATATTATACATTAAGCTCGTCATTGGTATATTTACTAGGTTTCATTAAGAAATTTAAACGATCTAAAGTTGTTTTGATCACAAGGCAACCCATTTAGGCACTAGCAGTTGTGGATGTTTCTAGGGTAAGGTTAACGGATAGTATCCAACTTCTGGCTGGTTTTCAATTCAGTGTTATCTTACCAAAACTAAATAGTTAAATCTCCTTAGCTATTTAACCCATAGCCAAAGAAGGATCTATTGATTTCAAGCAGATTAGTGGTAAGTGAACGGAAAAGACTCAGTCAGAATTTGAACCCGGAACGTTGATTCCACTAACAGTTATAGATGGCATGTACTCTGTTACTACCGATATTAGATCCAGGTCTGTCGCCAGAGATTTTTGAAGTGCGGATGTCTCCGGCTTTTACACGAGTAAGAATTTTTAAGAAATTATATCACATCTTTGTCACATAGTGTTCTTTAGAAGACAGTCACTAATTGATGACAGGTTTTGATAGTCCCATAGTCTCATGTTGATTCAATAAATGCTTTTTTCCTTTCGCATAATTAATTATGAATTCCTTACGAATATTTTATTTTAAACGTCCTTATCTGAATTACGCATTTTTATGAGAAACGTTCAACGCTTCCCATTGTCGAAGCTGTCAAAATTACAAATACTCTTACCTCTCTTACATAAGTCTATATATCATTAATCAATGTACATATACAACGCTATCATCCTTAATTATTATTGAACCATTTAAGCACGCACTTTACAATGTTTTTGTTATATTTTGAATGCGGTATTTTTTTGCTATTTTAATGTCTAAGCATGCATGTGGGTATTTTCCCGTCTTTTGTTAGTTAATTTCGTTTACGATTGGTTGTGGGGAAATGTTCAGATCAAGGTTGGTAGAACGAGTTATCTTAATTGGTAACGGAAACCACCGCCTTCTGGTTAGCTTATTAGTAGAGGATTGGACGAAAATACCATCATTTTCTAAAGATGCAACATCCGTCATTATCTGATAAATGCAAGTTTTAATGAGCAGTATCCCAGCAAAAGAATAAACTAACAATAATAACGATGCTGTATCCGAACTGCAAGGATGTCCCCCGTCACTGCCTTTATGAATATATGATGAACAAGAAGAAAGGATATGCTGGACATTGGCGTTTTATGAATGAATTCGAAATATGTCGATAATTAGAAGATGTGTAGATATTTAAGCATGGAATCAATTAATGTCCATCTACAAGTTTTCACTTTCACTTTCCTTATCTATCTATCTATCTATCTATCTATCTATCTATCTATCTATCTATCTCATTCTAATAATTATCTATCTATCTATCTATCTATCTATCTATCTATCTATCTATCTATCTATCTATCTATCTGCCTGTCCGTCTGTCTATCTATCTATCTATCTATCTATCTATCTATCTATCTATCTATCTATCTACCGAATGAACAAATAGGAAACGTTTATCAATGTAACATGTCTAACGTTATAAAAGGAAATATGATAGATTGATAAACGTATCCTATTATATCATTCTATAGGATTCTGATCCATATTTCATCTATATTTGATCCCAACTTTTATATATATATATATATATATATATATATATCGGAACCCTATAGAATGATAAATATCTATCTATTTATCTATCTAAAAATCTCTCTCTCTCTCTCTCTCTCTCTCTCTCTCTCTCTCTATATATATATATATATATATATATATATATATATATATATATATATATATATATATATATATCTTGCTAGAAAAAATATACGTCCTCCGGCAGGATTCAAACCCACTTTTCCTAGAGGAAGCAGTCACTGGATCTGACATGCCCTAGACCAATTCGGCCATGTAGGACCTCCTGGTCATACAAAGTCCCAAGGGACGTAGGTTCAAATCCTGCCAGAGGACGCATATATATATATATATATATATATATATATATATATATATATATATATATATATATATATATAAATTGTGTATATTTAGGCAGCAATTTTTCATTGATGCATGTTTCATTAAATAATAAGTTTAAGTTTTGTCTATTTATTTTAAGTAAGTTCCTTTCATGTTGTCTGATAAGCTTAATAACATTATCATTGAAAGACGAAAGGAAATCACCATATTGATACATGTTTAAATCCAATCTAAGCTTTCGGCTTACATAAGCCATTATCAAAGATGACAATTACTTTTCAATATATCAACCAATACACGGAACAATAATGATAGTCTGTTTTTGTTGCATGAAAAATTTCAAAGCAACGACTAACTAGTGTACATATATATATATATATATATATATATATATATAGAGAGAGAGAGAGAGAGAGAGAGAGAGAGAGAGAGGGAGTGAGAGAGAGAAAAGAAAAATATATGCTCACACAAATACATACGCAAAATATTGCTGATATTATCTAAAGTGTGGACAGACCGGCCCATCTACGAAACTCTGCAGGTGGGATGTTGAAGGTAATGTCAATCAGCTGTAACAAACTTTTACTCATAATATTCTCTCTCTCTCTCTCAGCATCTCTGTCTGTCTGTCTGTCTGTCTGTTTGTCTGTCTGTTTGTCTATCTATCTATCTATCTATCTATCTATCTATCTATCTATCTATCTATCTATGTCTGTGTTCATATCTATCTATCTCAGTCTGTTCTGTCTATTTATCCATCTATCTATTTTATTGTGGGCCCAAAGATATGCTCTTGATTCAGTTTGTTTAGAATTTTTTAATATTCCTCTGTATTCTTCAAACATGCGTGATCAATGCCTGGATCAATTATAGCAATGATATTTCGCTGGTTCAGTGAAACAGTAGCTTTATGAGGAAGAATGAACAAGCTCAGTTTTCTCAGTGATGGTGGGGGATAAAGAAAAAAATCGGTTCAGTTTAACATTCCTGTAAGACTGTCGAATCCAGGCAGGTAAATTAGAATAGTCGAAGAGCACAACTGTTGAAATGTTGATTCCGAAACAACGAAACAATATCAATATATTTCAATCACATGAAAATAATATCAATTTATTTCATTCATATGAAAACAATATCATCATATTTCAATAACAAGAAAACAATATCATTATATTTCATTCACATGAAAACAATATCAATATATTTCATTCAAATGAAAACAATATCTTTATATTTCAATCACAAGAAAACAATATCAATATATTTCATTCACATGAAAACAATATCAATATATTTAATTCATATGAAAACAATATCAATGTATTTCAGTCACATGAAAACTATATCAATGTAATTCAGTCACATGAAAACTATATCAATGTATTTCATTCATATGAAAACAATGTCAATATATTTCATTCACATGAAAACAATATCATTATATTTCAATCACATGAAAACAATATTAATATATTTCAATCACAAGAAAACAACATCAATATATTTCATTCACATGAAAACAATATCAATATATTTCATTCACAAGAAAACAATATCAATATATTTCATTCATATGAAAACAATATCATTATATTTCATTCACATGAAAACAATATCAATATATTTCATTCACATGAAAACATTTTTTTATCAATATGATAGGGAAATTAAGTCTTTGTTATAGTTCTCTAAATATTGCTTGTAATTTCAATAAATAATAACTTAATTAATTTAAATATCTTTAATTATTATATTCATTATTTAATAATATACAAAAGTCATTATAGTAATAGAAAGTATAATAAAAAACAATAATAAAATACTGAATAAACCCCCATGCCAGAATAGTATTAATAAAAACCCTACACTTAAAATAGACAAAAATAGGGAAAAATTATGTGATTGTAGAAACCCAGAAGACTGCCCATTGGAAAATAAATGCCGCGTAATATCTGTGGTATACCAATGTACTATTTCATCCATTGAGAGTCCTAATACTAATATGATATACATTGGGTCTACCAAGATTGAATTTAAAACCAGATGGAGGCAGCATAAGTGCTCCTTCAACAATATAAATAAAAGAAATCAGACATCTCTATCTAAATATTTTTGGCATTTGAAGGAAATGAATGAAACACCAAAAGTAAAATGGAAAATTATAAACAAAACTAGAACTTGTAAAACTTGGGATGACCCATGCCCTTTATGCTTACATGAAAAACTAAACATTATCAAGTTTCTAAATAATAAAAATTTATTAAACAATAGACATGCGTTAACGTTTTTTGCCGACATCATCAAATTTTCGCATTGAATAATTAGCATAAAAACAAACAAACGATAAAATAATTTTTAAATTCCATAGTCTAAATAAATAGTTTAAATGCCCTACAAAAATAAAGAAAAGAAAAGATAACCCTTTATGAAGTCCTCAAAAAAACAAATGTTAGCGAATTATGACAGTTTTTTTTTATATACACAAAACCCTTTCAGAAAAAAATAAAAAATAAAATAAAAAATAAATAAATCTCCATAGACACTTAACCAGACTAGACGATATCATCTTCCGCTTTAAATTTAGACACACCAACCTTACCCTGACTTGACGTCTTTGAATGTAACTGAGATATTGATACAAATTATTAACCCTTACGCCTCTTTTCTTTAGTAATTTTAATTTCAATAATGAATATGCTTATAAAACGCGTAAATTTCAGGAATAAGTTATTATTGTGAGTTTTTTTTTATTACTAACCCTATCTTGTTTTGTTTTGTGTAAATAGTATTAATTCACATTGTAAATAAGAAAGGTAGGAGTGAATGTGTTGTTTTGGTAATAGGACTATTGTTGGTATGTTTGGGTCCGTGTCTGTGACTAGCTAAGTTTAGAATTAAGACAGAAGAAGACCGTCCTTCCCCAACCCCCTTTTTGGCCTTGCGCCACTTTTAAACATTAGTACAAATAAATAACTATTCAAAAAAAAAAAAAGAGCTTGGTACTTTAATTCAATTTAATTTAATTCAAATAATTATATTGAAGTTTTCGGCTCTTGTATTGAAACATGAGAACTCTTATGTAGCGTTGGAATCATATTTTTAAATAAATAATTATATTTATACTCTGAATGTATGAATGTATGAAATATATATTTTAAGAATAACGTTTTTGGATTGTTGAATTTTGTTCCGTCTACAGTAACCCTATACTTGTATATATATATATATATATATATATATATATATATATATATATATATATATATATCGAAAGAATTATCGATATCTATTTTTAATCCGACTTCCTTTATTAATTGAAACGTTATCTTTAGTAGATACCCGTTTTTCAGTGGACGCCCATTCATGCAGTGAAGAACCGTATTTCCGGTTATATAACAAGCATCATGGTATAAAATACATGTATAATTTGCTAAACAATATTTAGAAAAAAAAAAAATTAAACCTGTATTTTTGTTTCTAACAGTCATATGCTGGAGAGCATATTTTTTCTCTTCAAGTTTTCCCGAATATTTTTCCTTTTTTTTCTCAATTCCCGGCTCCCATTGCGTGTGTAGGAACTTGCTTTCATGTTTACATTTTGTCATGACCCCAGAACACTTGTTAAGCGAACTTCTGGGTTTTTATGCATAATTACTTTCAACCCAGAGTATAACCTATAAAACGTCGATTCTTTTCCATAGCTCACTGTTTTCAGAGTTATTTCTCATTTAAAACGAAAAAATATAAGCAGTAAATTGGTGATACCACCTGAAGAGTGGATGGACAAGTCCGTCTACGAAACTCTGGAGTCAGGATGCGGAAGGTAACATCAATCAGCTAAGTGACAAACTTACTCAAATTAATCATATATATAAACGAATGTTCTAACCACTCGACAACGTGCCCATATATATATATATATATATATATATATATATATATATATATATATATTCATTCTGTTTATACGTTACTTTTATGCGTACAATTATTTAAGTAAATGGTCTGTTTATAACAAACATTTTTAATTACATTTACAGGCCTGAATGTCCAAGAAATTTCGTAGAAAATATGTGTCCTCCGACGGGAATCGAACCTGTAGCCTACAAAAAACCGTCATATAGCCTAATGTTCTATACCATTTAGCTATAGAGGAATCGTCTGGCTAGCAAAGTGAAATTACTCTTTTAAACAACAAATTCTCCAGGATCTTTTCTCGAACGATCATGTCTGCTCGAAGCGTATATTATTCAGGTCGGTAAATGCAATTCATACTGTTTATTCTATATATTGTTATTCATTATCTGTAAAAATAAAATAACCTATAAGCAGAAAATATATTAAAAATAATTGTTGGAGTTAGTCCATTTCATAACACACACACACACACACACACACACACACACACACACACACATATATATATACATATGTATGTTGTGGGGTCGGTGTGTGTAGTACGATTGTAAAATATATTTTACGAATATTAATACAACTTATAATATGCAACAACTTATAATATTCTTAGAATCCTTCATTAATATCACATGCAATCACATGCAATCCAATACTACTGTACTCGATTAATTTATCACGTGTGTGTACATATAATTTCACCTTTATAAGTACAGCAGATATATAGTCTGCACTCTTATATTATATTTTTCACCCCGTGATCTATTTTAAGGCAATTGGTATAAATAGGATATTATATATATGTAAAAGACAGTTATTCCCCTTGATGTATTGTTTAATTTTGAATACAAATTTAAATTTAAGTAATTAAATTTTTTTTCCATTCTTTGCTTTTCGAACTTGACAATTTGAACAATATAAATTATTAATAGTTAATTCCAATATTTTATGCAACAGTAATTAAGTAAACAAATTTTAACGCACAATTCCGAATCATCACCACGAGAACGTGAGGTATATAACGGTCAGATAATATTTGAAGCTTGAGATTGCAAGATTGGATTCCTGCTATCCAAGTTTGATATTATATATATTCACTAATATATATTTATAGCTTAGTTTCACAAAATTGAGTACTGTATTTATAACACATGAGCAAGAAATATAATTATGCGTACGTGGAAGTATACGTGTGTGTGTATGTGTCCGTGTGTGTGTCTGTGCGTGTAACTAAGGTCTGCTCAGCATAGTTGCAGTATAAACCAGACGTGGGCTCTCTGGGTGTTGAACAAACACAAATGTGCCTGAGCCAGTCGCCCTAGTAGACGAATATCCTTGAATACGAAGAGCTGGCATTATATATATATATATATATAAATATATATATACATACATATATATATATATATATATATATATATATATATATATATATATATATATATATAATTTGTATAACCTGGGTTTCACGCTGTTTGCGGTTTTAACAATCGCAAATAGCGTGAAACCAAAGGTCACAAACTCACATCAATCTAACTAAATATATGTATACATATATATATATATATATATATATATATATGTGTGTGTGTGTGTGTGTGTGTGTGTATTACAAAATTTTGATGTAATAATCCTAAAATAAAGAATACAGCTCTACTTTTTTATTGAAGCCTGTTTTAAAGCAATGTCACGAACGTATTTATATTCGATTCGTTCTCATTCCATATATATATATATATGTGTGTGTGTGTGTGTGTGTGTGTGTGTGTGTGTGTACATATATATATAGGATTAATACAAACATAAAATTTGTTCTCTCGC